GGAGGTCCCCCGATGATAGCAAGAAGTTTTCCCAGGCTTGCAAGTTTCCAAAGGAAACTCCATGTTCCCGGATTGTGTAGATCTTGATTTCGACCTTCATTGATATCCAAAGTGATGACTTCAATCCCATTGATGGGATTCTTTCGCCATTCCTTCGCCCTTTCTCCAGCAAAAAGGTGGACTATAACCCCTTTTGAGGTGAGCAGCCTCCTTCTTTTGTGCCGGTTCCATGGTAAATCATGGTTCATTTGCGGATCTTCTTCATCTTGACCCCGCATGTAATTCCAAATTCTGTCCGGTGTTTCCGGAAATCGTGATCCCCACCACTTCTTGGTCTTCTCCGTGGGCTCTTCCAAGGTGAGCCGATGGTTGGTCCTCTTTTCCATTTCCATGTGCTCAATCTCAGTGATCAGAGCCAGAGCGTGGTCCTTTCGAACCACTGGACACCCAGACCTTAACCAACATTCTATGTTTCCCAGTCGTGGATGCTTCACAACACATCCTGCACGGGACCAAGTGATGGTGTATCCCAATTCCACCAAACCTCGAAGAGGTACAATTGGTTCCACCGGTCCCTCCGACAAGAGGGTTCCATTCACAGGATTTTGATAGAGCTGAGCAGCTCCATGTGCGAGTTCCACAGTGACCTGCACCGCGTTCTTGATCTCCTCGGTTGATCCCTGTCTCAAGGGGTGTGTCGCCCCACCATCCAATAAACCCGTTCCATTATCAAACTCGACTTCGAGATGATCCCCACCATGCCCCACCGATTTCAAGACCGGTCCATTGAGACCCTTCAAAAGGCTGGTGACTTCTCCTACAACCTTTTCGGACTTCTCTGGTACAGGGGTAATAGTGACCGTGGATTCATCCCTCGGGTTGATCTTCACGACAGGTTCAGGACGTTCTTGAGCAGCACCTCCTTCTTTTCCAGAACCATTTTTCCTCTCTTGAGATCTTGAGCGGATTCTAGTGGTTTTGGCCACCTTTGGTTCTTCAGATCCACCTTGTGGACCTCGTGACTCACTTCGTTTTCCCGCCGGACAATCACGTCGGGAGTGTCCCTTTCCAGAACAGTTGAAACATCGGCCATCTTTGGAGTCCAAAACGGTGTGCATAAACCGGCATCGTTCTGCATATTGGCATCCCTTCTCAGTCAGCCAGTTGACGCACGCCACCTTATGGACCACATTAGCGGCGTTAATCGGCAGCTCGGGCTTCTCCCCCCTCCTTCCGGTGGAAGAACCTGCTGCGTCTTCTGATTTTCCCTTCGAAGCTCCCTTTGGTGGACTTCCAGATGAATCCGGTCCACTCATAGACTTCACCCCCACTACATTGTTGGGCTTAGTCGTTGGACCCTGTGTCGTGTTCCCCGGTTGACGGAGAGCCATTTCACTAGCCTCCGCTTGAAGAAGTTCCGAAAACGTTCGGATCTCTTGCATTCCTGGCCGGAGATCTATGCCCAAATGCTGTCTCACCGAAGACAACCGGTAGGCAGCTTGAGCTCCCCCCAACCTGGCCAAGGCATCACTCATTTTTGCGACCACTCCGGCCAAAACCAGAGGATCGGGCAAAACCAATTGAAGTTCTTCGGCACGAACCACCCATCTTCTCCACTTCCGGATGGAGTTGACCATCTCTGCAGCATTATTAGATGGACATTTCCAGTCCACCAACATTTGCAGCAGGGCAGTTCTTTCCACTTGTCCCCCAGGTTGGAAGACGGTGTACAGCTTGAACATGACTTGACCCGCTGACATGTGTCTGTTCGCCACAAGGTCCTCGTAGATGTCCTTGGGGACGGCTTGAAGCAGCATACCCACCACCCGTTTCTCTGTGCGAGGCCACCTACGGGCCATGTCAGGTATCACAGGCGCCATCCGGAGCCTCACGAGTGGATCCGCTTGCAGCCAGTGGTGGTATGCTTGTTCAACAGCGGTCATCACTACTTCCCACCATTGCTCTGAGGTGTAGCTCACATCCCCAATCATCTGTTGGGCAACTGTCAGCCAATCTCCAAAGTCCAAAGATGTTGCGTTTCTGTCCAGCTTCGGCAATTCGACCGATCTTAAAGTCTCGCCTGGTATTTCTCCCCCTGCCTGAGGTCCTGCTTGGACTGCAACTTGCTGTTGTTGTTGTTGTTGTGGCGGTACAGCTCGTCCTGGATTTCCATACTGCCCCGGCGGTGGACCCCCCGGCCAACCACAACCACCCGTAGGTCCGGTGTTTCCACCCGGAAATGCAAAACCTCCATGAAGTCGATGATCTTGTCCTGCAGGTGCTCCTCCAACTTGGGCTTGAGGATTATACCATTGATTGGGTTGTTCACCCATAAAACAGGGTCTTGTGTTTTCCATGGCTCCCATGCAGGGAGCTCCCATTGGTGGTCTCGGCGCCGCTCCCTGCGGCATTCCATTCATCCACCCTTGATTCATATACACATCCATCGGCCGAAGACCTTGTTCGACCCTGGGCGCAGGAGGCGCATGCCACATCGGACCTCCCGCCTTCAATTGAAGATCTTGATCATGATGATGTTGAACTCCCGGAACTGCCTGATCTAGCACCTGTTGTCCTTGGGGTGGGACACCTTGAGGTGGCCCTACAGGAAAACACTGCCCGATGTTCTGCTCCGGAGAGGCGGTTTGATAAGACCCCCCACTCGACTGAGAGCCCTTGTGACCTCCTCCTGTTTCTTGGACCCGTTCCAGGGCACGTTTCTCTTCCCGCGTGGCTAACCAATTTTCTCGATCTTGTTGGATCTCAGTCTTGCCCCGCTGGATGAATTCCATCGCTCGTTGTTTCAACTCTTCATACTTCTCTTTCTCCCTTGCGTCCGCCCGATCAATCAGGTCTTGCGACACTGTGGGATAAGTCAGCTCCTTCACTGGAGTTTGTGGACTGCTCATTAGAGCTTCCACTCGCTTGGCAGCACTCCATGGATTCGTTTCCTCTGCAGCCATGACCCCGGTTACAATCCCAGGATCCACAACCGCCGTTCCCCACTGAGGCACCATTCCCGTAGGTGGCACTCCAGCACACATGGATTGCTGGGACATCCCAGCTACTTGCGAACCCTGTGTTCCACCAATTGCAGTATACACCACAGGTGCTCCCGCCGGCTGGTAGATCATAGGTGAGCCTGTTGGTGCCGCTGGCACCGATTGTTTAACGCGTGCATCTTCAGGAGACTCAACAGGTGAACGTCCCGGTCGCTCCAAAAGAGCAACGGTTTCCACAACAGCAGCCGCACCTCCACCCACTTCAGTTGAGCTTTGGTGTTTTCCACCCTGTCCTTCTTCTCGATTACCCACAACAGGTGGTTCACGAAATCCCTCAGACATCCGGGCAACTACTGGTGTTTGTGTCATAGGCACTCCCGAAAGAGTTAGACTATTCACACCTGGGGTCAAACCAGACAACAGACCGCCATTCCCATTTCCTCGTACCACTTCAAGTCCAGGAGGTTCTTCAGGTGGTAAGGACACTGGTCTTGCGACTTCTTCCGCAACAGCCGGATTCTGGGCGATTCGTTCGCCCGCTCCAGCCCGGACCGCCGCAACCTGCACTAGGGCTCCACTTCCCCCAGCACCGGTCAGTGCCATCACACTTTCTCCAACTTCCCCTTCCATCAGTGATCTTCGGGTTGAGTCTGATGATCTTGTCCCTGTTCTTTCCCCATGTGCTTGTCCAGGTGCGTCCATCTCCTCCAGAAGCCGGTCCAGCATTTGGTCTGCCGTTTCCGCGCGTTCTTCTTTTCCATGTCCATGGGTCCCATGTTGTACTTCTTCAGCATGAGCAGCCGCTTGAACTTGGCGTTCTTGTCGACGACGCTGAGTGAAGTCGCTGCTCGACATTGCTTCAAGGCAGCGTTGGGGTTGGGCTCATAACCCACGGGTTTCAGACTATGACCGAGACCCTTCCCGGAGAACCCCACCAAGAGGTTGATGCAGGTGCACCTTTTCACTCCAGATTGGGCTCGGTGCTTGAGCCAGTCAGTTGATTGGCCCTTGAGCCATGTTGCAACAGTCGGAGGACGTCTCAACGACTGTGAAAACTTTAAAAAGACCTTAGTGGGGGTGCAGTGGTACTCTGTGCATGTTTCCCAAACCGCAGTTTCAATACCCTCTGGTAAACTAACAGTTTGCTATTGAAAATTGCCCATTTTTAGTGGATTTACCCGTTGAACATGGTGATTTTCCATAGTTTTGTAAACGTTTACCAGAGGGTAAGTTACTATAAACATGGCAAACAACCATTGGTTCAATGCCACGGACAAATTCCACTTCCGCAAACTCATTGGAAAGAAGTTCGAAAGCGTGCAGGCAACGCAGAGCCGCTAGAAATTCAGGCTTGTGCTCCCAAGCGTGCCGCCCAAGTGCCTCTGCCAGCGGCCCTGCGAACACAATTGCCATGTGGTCCATGTGCTCACTTCCTGTGCTCGCATCTGGCTGGGTGAAAAGCTCAGGCTCCCAGCTGAAAGCCGCGAAGCGTTGCAGGCGCTCCAGTTTTGCATCACATGCTACTTGGAGTGTGGCCACGAAGTCTGCAGGTACCAGTGGAAATGGCGAAGGCCAGAAGGAAAGAAAGAAGGGGCCTGGAGCAAAAAGGGGCCTGGAACGGGGCACCATGCGGTGCACTCCATTATGATGTCTGCCACAAAGCGATCCAAACACGCGTCAGGGGAAACGGTGGAGTCTATGTGTGACCTGATTTTATTGGGGGCCATCTGATGAAGCCCAGTTGTGACCAGCTGTTTGTCTCAAAAAAGTGGGAGTTCGCCCAATTTATGGCCTTTCCATGCCTCTCCTTATTGGGGAACATTTTGATAAACTACCGGATCAAGTGGTACCGGATATTTCTCGACAACGCCATGAGGATGCAAACATGGTGCTGTACTGGGTCAACATGGTACAAAAGGTACTGACCCATAAAAACTCATATTGAAATATGTCGTCACTTTTCAACCCTTTTCCAGCCATGGTCCGTGCTTTCAGCGCCTCGCTGGCGTGCAAGTCTTTCTTGACGCTCGCATAGATCCTAGGATCATGGAAAGCAATTTTCATGGGGTTTATAGTGGTTTCAATGGGATTTAACCATCAAAAATTGTGGACACTTAAATCTAAGGATGCCCCTAAATGGTAGCCGCCACCGCCCCAATGGCCCAAGCAGAATGATCCATTAGGGTTGATCCACCTGTGGAGGGGCTGATGTCCATGAAATCTTCAGCTCAATCCAGCGGGCCGATCATGAGTTTTGGTCCAACAGTGATTTCATCTCATGTATGGGCCAGAATTCGGTAACTCAGGAAATGCTGAACATACTGAAGATATCTAAAGATGATTGGCCACACTGGGCTGGGCGGCCACACTATGGGCTTGTCTGAAAATAGCTGGGGGTTAGTCCCCATTTTCAGACAGACCCAAATGTCATATATATATATATAATAATAAAATAATAATAATAATAACAATAATAATAATAATATATATATATATATATATCTATATACATATATAATATTTGATAATATATCCCTATCCCCAATACATCCCAATTAATATTGGTTGGGTAAATACCGTTATTCACCGGCTATGTTCTCACACATGTTGGTTGGTTATCTTCACAATTATATTACACACTATACTCACTAAATACCCTGATGAGTTGGTTGAGTATCTATCATTCTCTGTTCCCATATCTGTTGGTTGAATCCATCATATCTCAAATTCTGCCACCATGATATTTAAATCATCTTCACTGGTGACATAACCATATTCTTCCCACTTAAATACCCTAATACCATCTGGTAATTTAACATAGCCATGGAAGCCATGGCCCATAAATAGATGGTTCACCTATTAAAAATGGGTGGATCTTTCCATGGCTATGTTAATCATAACCAGAGGGTAACCCATTAAAATCCCATTAACTCATCATTTTCAATGGGTAAATCCACTACAAATCCATTATAAATCCACTAAAAAATGACATCATTCGTCGTTTCGGGCTTCGCCATCATGATCTGCATATCTTGGACTCGGCACACGGTGTTCAGGAAGAGGATCGACATCTTGTCGCCAAGCTTCATGGAATAGTAGAAATACCTGTGCTCTCTGCGTTCCCAATACCGGTGTGTTCAAAGAATGCGCAACCAACAAAAATAGACTATAATGGTTAATAATGGTTCATAATGCTTAGCCATTGTGGATAATTTTCATTCTATGGGATAAGGCAATATATATACATACATACATACATACATATATATATATATATGTATATTAGTATCCCTCCTTTCATGATGTCCCAATGGATGAAGGCAAAAGAAGACACCATTTAAATCTCGCGGAAACCACTTACTTTTTGCTGTGCACTTTTTGCTGTGCATCCCAGTTAGTACGTTGGCAATAACCACATTACAACCCAGTTACAGTGCCAAACACCTAGTGGAAGATCCCTGAAATGTTTGGTCAATGGGGACTCCCAGTTCATGAATTCCGATCCAATCCATAGTGTCATAGACGGCCATAGATGGTACAGAGACCACAATAATCATCAACCAGCAAACATATGTTCTATTAGTGGTTCTACAAGTTTTACATCTCATTATCCCATATGATCCCAGTAATAGTATATCACCACTATGGCAATAATCATGGACCGGCCATACCCCAACCGTCACTTATCAAGCATATGTTTATTTTTGCTGGTTAAAATCAACTTTAATGAAATCTCCATGAGCCAAGAGTTGATAAGATCCCTCTATGATGGCTGGTTAATATCCATTACCAGTTAATGGAGTACATAGCACAAATCTCCAACATATGATATTCTGCCTCCTATAAGTGCCATCCATGGTTTTATCCCGCTGATATCCCCATTGCATCTCCATAATATCTGCATAGAATGATCAGAATGGTTGGTTTTACAACCACTTCTCTGGTTATATCCTCATAATAATCATCATATCACCAGGAAAACTCATAATAGTCACCACACCATACCACATTTTTCCCATTTTCTTTGGGTAAACATGGGTAAAATCTCTTATTGCAGTGGTATTTTTCTTCAAAACTGCTCACGGTTGGACAAACGAACGCGCCTCTTTAGGGTGAGAAAGGCATCCGCGGGGATCTGGCAGTGCCTATGCGCTGCCCGCAGTGATGGGAAGCCTTGGTAAAATGGGATTCCAACAAAAATGGTGATTTTTTTATGGTGATTAAATGGGATTTAGTAGATTTCGTAATTATATTTAATGGTGATTTAATGGGATTTACTATATTTAATAGTATTCTGTTTTTTTATGGAATTGAATGAGAATTCCATGGGTTTTATTGGGGTGGATACCGTCCGGTAAGCAAACCTGGCTTGCTGGAATATCCCCGATCTAGTTCGATGATTTTCCCAGCTATAAACGTCGACGTTGGGGATTTTTCATTGCCACGTTACCAGAGGGTATACCAAAATAGTGACTTGATGGATTTTAACCATCCACAACGGTGATTGAACCAAGAAATTTGGTGATATGGGGATGTATGAGCAACACAAAAGATATTTGGGTGACTTTGGGTGTGTCTGAATTATACCATGGCACAGCTGCACCGTTTTCAAATGGCGATTTCTTAGAGAAGGATTCAATCTCTTGGTAAGGCCTTTTTAAGTCCCCAAAAATTGGCAGTACCACTGCAACACTGCAAGTATCGAAACATCCAATCTTGGGGTCCTTCTATGAATGAATATGAATGCATAACTATTCACCACTTGTCGACTTCACTTGTTTCAGCATGTCATGGATGAATCCTTCCAACATTGTTGCTTCACCTGCTTCACCTGGGGGTCCTGATCCGCAAATCTTCTCGTTGATCCCTGCTGCCCTACAGTAGTCTGGGTGGAATTGACGTGATCTTCTGCAAGCAGCTCCTTGGGCTCCATGGTGTTTGCCTTGTGGAACAGCATCAGTGTTTCAAATTGCAACGCAGAGTCCTTGACCGAAGTTGCCCACGTGGATGAGTGCAAGCTGCTGTCATGGATCATATTTTGGACCTATTCTCGAAGCAGCTTTGCGAGCCTCAGATATGCTGGGATTATTTCTGACTCGGAAATCCTGAGAGGTCCTGAGAGTATACAAAACTGATAGAGGATTTCAGCTGCCATTCTGCCAAACACACTGATTCAATTGTAGAAACAACAAACACTTTAGAATCTCATCTGGTTGGTGGTATACCTACCCCTCTGAAAAATATGAAAGTCAATGGGAAGGATTATCCCATATATTATGGAAAATAAAGCATCTTTGAAACCACCAACCAGTCAAGTATGTTGGTGAACTCTTTACACAATTGGATGGTACTCTAGGGAGACGCCCAGTGCGGCTGCATTTGCTTGACCTATCCAAGATTTTGCTTCCAAAAAATCCTACTGTGGTGGGAAATCCTGCACCACCTGGGATGGTAGAAAGCCTATAAATAATGGGATAAACCACCTATAAACTGGTGCAGGATTTCTTCCATCCACAGTATTTGTGCTCGTCGTATTCCAATGATGGGATAAAAAACATGTTTCTAGCATCGACCTATTCCAATTGTTGCTGAGTTGAACCACTTTTTTGTTAACCATCTAAACAGTGCTGTTGAACCTCAACGGTTCAATATTCAAGGCCAATGCACCAAAATCGGCTTGTCATGTTTCCAATAGTTACTATTCAGTTTTTGAGGAGCCCAAGTTTGATCCTTACCCACTTGCCTCGGGAACCGAACCAACAAACATTCATTTCTCATGGCCAATTTTAGACACTATGCAAACAATAACTTTCTGTCCAGTAAATAGTCCCATATATAGCAACACATGAGTACGAAACGACCGATCCACGACCTATCCAGCTGGACTCAAATATCCCATCGTTTTGGCTGGTTGTATTCCCAGATTCTGTTGCTTGGAACATCCCACTTTGTAACTGGCCAAGAAGCCTCAACAAGTCCCCTTCTTGGCTTATTCCATTTAGAACTGGCTCGGCCGTGGGTGATCCTCCAAGTATGCTGGCTATACCGATAATTCTATCCCATGAAATCCCGGCAAATCACCGTTAAATCAATCCCAATAAAACCAACGAAATACACCATAAACTCACCATGAAATCCCAATTCAATCCCAATTTTATTCTGGTTGGTAGTTTTTCGCCACCCCTCTGAAAAATGATGGAGTTCGTCAGTTGTGATGATGACATTCCCAATATGATGGGAAGAATAATTGAAATGTTCCAAACCACCAACCAACCATTTAATCACCCATTGGTCATGAAATCATCGAGAACATCTATGGTTTTTCGAGACGCTTTTTCAGCTCCATGGCTTCGGACAGATAGAAGTCCTGACGATTTGAAAGCCGTCGAAGACGGCGCCGGTCTTTTGTAGCCATCCATGGTGGAAGACATTGGGTTTCTACAGGATGGGGCCTCCGCAGTTTTGCTTTTTGGTTTATAAACCATGAAATAACCCCCATGAACTAGTTCGTTATATCTACCATAAACCATAGCATTCAGCCACAAAAATAAGGCAACGCTATCGACTGGGGGCCCCATCCTGCAAGAAACACCATAAATAAAAACGACGGGATTTGGGTGTGATGATGTGGAAGAAAGTGGTTTTACTTTTTGACATCACATGGTTTTGGGGGCCGGATTTTGAATGGGCTTTTCATTGCAATCACAAAGATTTGATTTTATAGCGAGTAAATGTTTTTAACATATCCGCTTGTAGATGATTTTCCCCGCTCCATTGAAAGTGGGATTTCCCGTCACCAGGGTGCCGGAAAGTAGCGCATTTTTGCAACTGCACAAAAAAACAAACGCAAAGTATGTGCATGTGGATCCTAATATTCAATCTGGAAAACACTTGAATCATTTGTAGTGCTTTCAAAACGTATTGGATGTGTGGGCAACAAGTCTTGAAATGACTGAGCCTTCAGAGGTACACTTAAGGTCACTATATAAATTGGTTTGTCTTAGAATATAATACACCAAAATGCAAGAGTTTGAACCATCATTCTTCCACCTAATTTTCGTATCCTCATTATATCCTCACAAAATACTGCTAGTTTTATATCCATTGAGGAAAACGGCTGAACACGTTTCAACAAAACACTGCATTTTGGGATTTTCCAGAGACAAAAAGGACGAGTCCCACAGCTTTTTTGCCACGTTCCAAGTCCTTCTTGGTAAAGTCCACTCCATAGCTGGGAAAAACGTCCTGGGTGCGAAACGAAGCATGGGAGTTTTTTGTGATTCCCATTGTATTGAGGTGTTCCAACCGTTTGTAGGGATAAATGGGTGTATCTGAAAGTAGGGTACCTTAAAATTATGGTGTTATCACAATTTTTCCTAAGGCAATTGCCATGTTGCTGGGTGTATACCCCTGTTTCAGCCACACCCAAAGGTCACCAAGAGTTGTTGGTTAAACACCATTTGGGGGTGAAATCCATCAGATACAAATAGCCACAGCCCTTGTTTTGGCAGGTCTTCTGGACTTGCCGAGAATCGCACAAGGTGGATGCCCGTTAGTTCGCTAAGTTGGGTTATAACTTAGGCGAATTCTAGGATTGACGGGGGATATAACTATAGTTTACGGAGTTTATAAACTAACAATATAACTGGGGGCCACCTTGTGGAGATGCATCCCAGTACTTGGATAATCGTCAATCAGTAGTGGAAAATCGGGATATTCCAGATGTAAATTTGACTGAACTACAACTTGCTGTGAATGTGCCCACTGGTCTGAACATAGAACCTTAGGACACATGCAACAACTAGAATAGAATCAACAACAGCGGATCGCCAAATTGAGTTGTACTGGTCTCAAAACCTCGGGGATGTCACGATGAAATGTAGGTCACCAGAATGATTTCGCTGTCACTTTCTGTTTTCCACCATTGGATTCTAGCTTACCCAATCTTGACCCATACTTGAACGGCCTGGTATTGCTTGGTCCAAAGTGGTGGACTGCTGGTTGGCCAATGACACCGATCGAGTCATTGGGTCTTCAGCTTCCAATCCTCATATGTTGCATCCCCATGTTAGTCAGTTGGGGTTATGAAATTCCCAATAATATGGAAAAATAAGCCAACTTTTCCAAGCCACCAGCCAGTTTTAGTTGGTTGATGTTGGTTGTATCCCGTGCTGTGTTGGACAAAAAACTTTTTCCACATTTGTTCGTCAGATTTACCATCTTTGTTGCGCATCCACCCATGGTTCCGCCATGGTTTCTCCAGCTCTGCTGACCAGCCACATTATTGCCAAGTGCGAGTGCACAGCGGCCTTTTTTGGGAGGGCTACCCGGCAAACCAAACATCGTTTTATCGGGGGTCATTTCTTGCACCATTGTCATCTTGCCAGGCAAGGGGAAATTCATTTTTGAAGTCTTCAACTCATCTGCAAATCGAGTACCCTCTGGTAAACATACAAAAAGCTGATGGGAAAATCACCATCTTTAATGGGAAAATCCACTATAAATGGCCATTTTCAATAGCTTTTTGTATGTTTACCAGAGGCTATATATATATATATTATATATATATATATCTTGTTTCCTCTGGACTATATTTCACGGGCCTTATGACAATTCTACCTGGGTGCTCTGTCACGATCTTTTAGGCCCGCCCAAATGGAAATTGGGTCTTCCACATCTTCCCACCTACCGATTTGCCTGGGTCCATTGAAGAAACCTGCATCTTGGATGTATCCAGCATTCTCTTTGGTTACATCTCTGTTCCTTGGTTGTTAATCTCCTGCTTCTATTTGTGAGATCTCATTTCTCAGTTGGGGATATCTACAGTTCTGTGGCTAGAAGAACCGTTTTCTTTGATCTGTTGCAGCCCTCCATTTTTCCTCGTTGTTGGCATTGGTATCTTGATTCTTTTCAATTGGTTGTGGCTCAAATCGAACACACCCAAAGATGGATAGTCACTTCCCAGAATCATAAAAACCACCTAGCCCTCTGGTATCAACATTTGAACCGATCTTTGATGGTTGAACTCCCCATGTCTGGCCCCAAAATAGTTATATAGATGTAAATGATGTAAATGCCTCCTGGTTCAATCCCATGATTCTAAACCTCCCATGTTTGACTGCGAAACACCCGCCTTTGCAGCTTATTTCCATATTCTCCGCCACCATTTTGGGTTTGCTGACGAACCACCCGAGTGCACGGCACCTCCACTAGCTTCTCCCACCCGACGCAAAGTGTCAGAGAAGGTGGTGAAGCCTTGGGATCGGTTGGAGTATTGGAGCAACCCCATTGAGAAAAAACAACCGTTTTTTTTCGCAGTGTGAAATAAATCCCTCTATCATTCCATGAAACACTGGTTCTTTAAGAACGAAATTCCCAGTTCATGGCTTAAATGATAATCCACAACTAATATTGGGTAGTATAGACATGTAAAACACCATATAGACTATATAGACATCAACCAACAGGGCTTTGCGCACTGCCCAATCGGGATCATCATCAGTGCGCATGACTAGTGATTGACGGTTGAAGTAGTCGGATGAATCATATGGAGCCTTGGTAGAACAGGAGTGACCATGGCCATGTCTTTATCTCATCAAAGTAAACATAGCCGAGATGAACTTCTGTGGGTCCACGTGCGAACTTTAAATCGGTAGTTTCTATTCATCCTAGGTATTTCTATAGATCTGCAGTAACATTTCGCAAACACGGATCAAGTAGTTTTGTTATGAAGTAACAATGATTTGTGCCTATAATTGAGATCACTTTGGATTATCCGTTCTTGAAGTAGCAATGGAATTGGACCCCAATGGTTCGAGCTATTTGCCAATGGCCGTGTGGCCGTTTTCCATGGCTGAGATTACCATAGGCTAAAAGGTGAGGCCCCCCAGTGATGTTTGTTGGTTAACAAAGCCATTGACACAGTTATATTCCCCCTAGCATCCCCTAGCTTTTAACACCTAAGTTCCAAGTCCTGCGATCCCTCACGGTCGAACACGGGAACGCTAAAAGAACGCTGCATGGGAATGCTGCGGAACACGGTCTATTCAACACATATTGAATTCAAATCCAATACTTAGTCTGCTTACGAAGCAAAAGGAGAATGTACCGCAAATCCAGAAACAATCCTTCGGCCATTTTTGCCAAAACAGGATTGTCATCAAACTCTGTTTGCCGTTACTTGAACCTCCATGTTAAGTCAAACGGTTCTGATTTTTTCCCCCATATATTTAAAACCCCCATTGACTGTCGCCTCCTAAACAATAGGGCCCCAACCAGGAGATTTAGGGCGGTTTAATAGGGGGAAGTGATGCTTAGACTCGCCTTCGACAACCAATTCACCATAAAGAAATATGCCTAATTCATATCCAGTATTATCACCATCTGCATTATGACTCGTTGTTTCTACTCCATTAATCCAGTATTCAAAATTGAATCATTACTGCGGGCATATTTATTCATTAAATGATCAGCAGACCACCGCTCATGGATCATCAACATCTTTAATCATGGATCATAACGGTTTGTGACTATCTGGACATTAGTTGTCCAGTTGTCCTTTAACATTTATCACAGAACTATACTAGTCCAACAGTTGTATCATATCTATCCATATCCATGAAATGCATTAGCATTGATTGACAGCATCCCTTGATATCCACTAAGATATTTCACATTCATTCTATTTAGCAAATGATATTGACTAATATGTTAGTAACTAAGTAATATATTTACATATATATATATATAAATAATACTAATATATATGTATATCAGAAAACACATATTCAGTGTAAAATCCATTAATTAAGCATATTGTCCAACATTCATTCTATATAACCATTGATATACATTCTACATATATCCATGAAGTAATCTTCATTTCCATAGTCATCTCAACGCTCGCTGTTCGCCCGTCGCCCGTCGCCAAGGTACCAGGTGCCTTGGGCGGATAGGGCGAATCGGTGGGTTGGTTGGCCCAGTGATCTGCCAAATCTCCCAGGATCAACCAGAGCTGTGGCTCCTGAGACTTCTGCGTCCGCGGCTTGGAAGGATTCGGTGGGTTGATGCTTGGTGGGTTGATCGAGTAGGTCATATATATATATATATGAGACAATGATATATCTATAATGTAGGAATGATATATCGTGTATTATCTATATGCTGGCCATGGAGGTGTCCAGGGCAGGGATGACCTCCACCTTCTGTGCGATCGTCCAATGCTGGCCGGAGACGACCATTTCCAAAGACTTCAGCCTTTGGTTGGCGGCGTCTACCGCCTCTGCGGGTCTCCCCTGTGGCAGGAGATCGGTGGTGTACCCGAGGGCGGTAGCTTCCCTCAATAAGCCCCCGGTCGCCTTTGTCGCGATGTAGTGGCGCACGTACTGAGACACGATTGGTGGCAACGTGTCTTCGCTCAGGCTCGAGGTCGTGCCTGTCGCTTGAAGAGGAACGTCAGTTGCCCCTTCTTGGAGGCCTTGCGCTTGAAGCACCGAAAAATCAGGTGCTGTCCACTCATCTACCCGCTTAAGCCAAAACTGGATAAAAAGAGACTCACCTGAATTTGTCTTTAAGTACGGGGCCGTTGACCCATCTTACATTTTGTGTAAGAATATAAGATGGATATGTATAGTAGTATACATGGATACGTAAAGTATCCTGATATCTATTCATCACAAAGAATGAACACCAGCACCTAGACCTAGTCAACTACTCCAGGGTTAATCCAATTCCAATTGGAGTGCGCTAAGCCCATGTACTGAATGGGGTGAACCTCCAACTATACATACAAATGTCTATACATCATATATCTTAAAAAATATATGTATTGTACGGTATCTCTTTATCTCTCTATCTATTCGTCTGTCCGTTTATCTGTCAATCAATCAATCTATCTATCTGTCTATCTATCCTTACACCTATCTATCTATCCTTACACCTATCTATCTATCCTTACACCTATCTATCTATCTATCGATCCATCCAGCTATCCAGCTATCCATCTATCTATCTATCTGTCTATCTGTCTATCTGTCTATCTGTCTATCTGTCTATCTGTCTATCTGTCTATCTGTCTATCTGTCTATCTATCTATCTATCTATTTATCTATCTATCTATCTGTCTGTCTATCTATCTATCTATCCGTCTATCTATCCTTACACCTATCTATCTCTCTATATATACATATATATATATGTTAATGTGTATATATGTATATATGTTAATGTGTATATATATATAACACATGGGATTGTATAAGAGACTGACATTGTTGCATGTATGTCTGTCTGTCTGTACGCATATATATATAGAGATTAGATGATTGCATACCAACTATACCAACTGAGCATTTGTGACTATATAGCGTAGTAATTCCAATCTCAAACCATCTCTAATATCAAACATCGGTGGTATAAACCCTCCAATCTTGGAGGTGTATTGTTGGGTTTACCACATGATTCAAGCATAATACCGCAAAAAGGCCTCATTCAGCAGGGGTTGGAAACTGGAAAAAGGGATCTTTGTCAACAGATTGGTGAGAATCAGGCTGTCAATCCTTGATACTAACGTTCGCGCAATAGTAATTACTCAAAACGGCTAGAATATATGACCACGTATGGCAAAATATGAAAAGCAACAGCTACTAGGCTACTAGTTCACTACGGTGTGTCCAGGAAAAATGGGGGTTGTTGATCACAATAACGCACGGAAAAATAACAATGCCAAGAGTGGAGACATTGGGCCAGGATAATTTACGGAGAGACTCACGCCTATTTTGGGTTTCTTAGGTTGTATCTAATTCATCTATATGTGGGAAATTTATCAACAAGAAATAAAGACTGTTAATCGGGACAAGCATGGCGCTTTGCCAACTATATTCGGATAGAGGCATGAATTATCAGGCAAAATGATCATATTAAAAAGGTCGAAGATGTTGCACGGGGATATTTCCTGCCAGATTTCGGAATTATAGGCTCCCAAAATCCATGCATGCCCGTCATTCTTATATTCTTGGACGGAATATGTATTCATCATCATAATATTGGGGTACGAATTTGGACCCACACATGTCTTGTCACTCCAAAACAAAGAAGAACTGGGCCCCTCAAAGCTAGGATTAAAATCTTTGCTTTAACATGGTTACAAATCAAGCACTGGAAATTTCCATCAGATCCATCAGCATCTTCATTTTTGTACTTCCTCAACATTTGAAGGTTTCCATAAATGGGTACCCCTACATGATCCATTTTAATAGGATTTTCCCTTATAAAACCATCCATTTTGGGGTACCTCCATTTATGGAAACCACCATTTTTCTTCAGCATGTTTCTTCGCGAAACCGTCCACCAGTGGTTTTCCAAATCGTGCCATGCTGGGGGTCCTCCTTGGCAGCCGCCTTTAAGGAAAGATCCACCAGACTGGCAATGTCTGGAAGGGTTCATGGCTTTCTGGGATTGAGATGGAACTTTGAAAGGACACAAATACAGAAAACCATGGTTTATACCCGGAAATATGATCACATCTGCGGCTTTGGTTCGCAACATTCTTCGAGGACATGCATGACAAAATGTAGGAATCAATGTGAAATCTTTGGGTATGGCGATGGTGATAATAAAAAACCAGCCAGCAATAGGGGGATGGAAAACCAGCAATAGGATTTAGGGATTTTCCCTATTGCTCGTAGATCGAGTTTCAAACCATGGGACGGAATGGGGCTCTCTATTTTCAACCCCCCAATGGTGATTGTTTTGTGAGATTCCAGTACCAGGCTATGGCAGCCCAATTTTTGAAGCGACAAACATGTGGCCATGTTCGACTTTTATGAAGGCCACGCTGCCAGCAATAAATGGATCCGTGTTTCAAATGGTGAAATCCACACTTTTTGGATGCGAATTTTCAGAATCCGATTTCTACCATCTTGGAGGTTTGATCCGCCCGTTGAAATGGTCAAATTCCCCGTATTTATCGCAGTCAAACTTCAATTTCAATGATCAAATCCACATCTTTTGGATGTAAAGTCCACGCTCCTAATGATTCAATCCCTAATTTTGGTTCAATCCATAGTCCCAATGGTTAAATCAGTCTTTGGCCGTTCAATTCATATTCTCCCCAGCACTGCTGCTTTTCCACCTCGCCTGGATGGCGCGTTGCAGCCGAGGCGACCATAGGGGGCACTGTCTGCCTTGCACAGCTCACGCCTTGGGATGGGCACCCCGTGTGATCATCCATTTATAGATGGGATGTTCCATGCCATCCAGCGAGCTTGGGGTACCTCTGGTACCTCCATTACTTTGGAAACTTGGAAACCATCCGAGATTTTTCATATTCGAGATATTTGACCCATAGATCCGACATGATATTCCGATATATGACCGATCGATCCGACATGATATCCGCATACATGGGGGTTTCTTAATGGCTAGGCAGACCCTTGCGGGAGCTAATCCCTTGGACTTTCGAGTCAAAGCAATCACAGTTGGATGTAACAGATGTGCAAGTGGCAGTAGAGCTCTTGTAGTCCGCAACAAGGTCTGCGCTGCTGATGCAAAATCCGGCACAGCCAAACCCACACCTTTGATGATGAGCGGCACCGCCTCTTGTGAAGTGTGTACCAGCATTCTTGCACCAGCTGCGCCACCAAGCAGTCTGATTGAATCGGCCGGTTCCCAAGGCAAAATAATCCAAGGCTCTCCGGCGCCGAATTTTCGAAACTTCACAGCATCGTCAGACCCCATTGCAATTGACTGCTTGGATCCGCGTAGGCCCAATTGACGGCTTGCTAGCATGGCGAAACTACATTACACTACATTACACTACATTACACTACATTACACTACATTGCGTTGCATTACACTACATTACATGGTTTAATGACTTGGATGATTTGGGAGGTAAGCCCTATTTATGTATATTTATGTACCATAATTCTACCATTAATCCGAGTTCTATTCCCACCTCCAGAGATGAACCAAGTTAGCTAACTAAACAGCAGCACCTTGCAGGACATGTGTTTGTGGGTAAAAAAGTCAGCAAGAAGCCAGCAAACATTGGGATTTCAACAAACATCGAGATGAAACCAACCATCATGGGGATTGTTATAATGGAAAATAATGATGGTCAATCTTAGATACCCTGCAAAAAAGTAATTTCTTGGCTGGTGAACGTAGATAATCCCATACCACAAGACTAAAGGATTAGTTTCTACCCATCCAAGATTGACCTAGTAATGAGATAATGGTTGTAACCGGCCCAATGACTCCCCATCCTTCGCCGTGTTGCGGGCTGCCGGCAGCGTCAGCACGACAGAGGCACTTGGCGCTGATGGCGGCGTCGTAGCTGGGGTGGTGATGGAGATCCGTCAAGAGCACCAGGGTGGCGTCCTCACCTCCAAGATCCACAGATGGGAATGTAGTGACTATATCATACTATATCTAGTTGGTGGTTTTAACCCCTCTGAAAAATATTAGTCAATGGGAAGGATTACTTTCACTTTCGGATTGCTGCACGAAATAGTGCTCGGTCTTTGCCATGCAAAAGTGACACGCTACTGCCAAGTCGTGCTTCATCCATGGTAGTCAGGCTGAACAAATGCTACCGGGACAAAGTCTTCCACGACAAAATTGGCAAATTCCTCTGGCAGCACGGGTGTCGTGTCGACGCCCCCAAAAGTGCTGCAGACGAATGAATTAATGGCAGTAGCCAGGGCCCGGTTCAGGCCTTCGGGATAGATCTTGGCTCGAGCGGTTTTGAACTCTCCCTCTGCGTCTCTGCCTGCCATTTTCTCATGGGCGCCAGCTCCGTGGGGGCATCTGCCGCCATGCCCTCCAGTCAGTGCAATCTGTCTGAAACGCGGCAGCCGTAGGTGCAAGATGGTGGTGGGTTTGGTGGCCACGCTACCCATCGTACACTGGTCGAAGGATGTCACCCCAACGCATTCAAGGGTGCGCAGGAGGCGCACTTCACGGCTGCACCAGACACTTGCCGGGTCTTTCTTGGCCGCCCACAGCGGGAACTGGGGGTGTTCCAAAAAACCAGCGCCCCCGGACTTGGCAAGTCCCAGCAGAGCTTCCAGCAGAAAGCGGATGAGCCTGGACCCAATGAGGCATTGTTGCCATTGTCTTGGCTTCAGATTGGGGAAGCCTAGAGGCCAGGTTCCAGACCTCAGCGGTGGTGGTCCTCCCTCCAGCAAACGGGCGGCCGTGTATGTTTCACACGGTGGGCCGCCGCCCATACCGCAGATTTGGCCGGATGCAATCTGCGCCATCCAAAACTGGACAGCTTTTGAGGAGGCTAGGTTGCCTTCAATCTTTTGCAGGCACATATCGATCGATATGACAAAGAAATGAAGGGACCCCCATGTCTGGTGCTCCAGAATCTGGTGCAAATCAGATTGCCTACGAAAACCGGAGAAGACATGCACAAACACCATGGTCTTAATGTGCAGCCGAGCATGCTCCTTGGCCAGTCCCTGAGCTGCATACTGCCCATGGCCTTTATTGGGGCCGGCGGGAGACTGCAAAACGAAGGCCGGAAGGTCTGCGTCAAACAAAATCACTGTTGGATCGCCTGCCGGGGCATCAGTTCTACGGCCTTGGAGGAAGGTGAAAGCATTTCCCCTCTGCGGCTGCCTGGCAGCCCATCGCTGCTGCATAAGTGTTGCTTCAGGGGTTTGTGCCGGTGGCAGGTGAGGTCCAAAGATGCGCAAGACTGGTGTCAGCGCTTTCGTGGCCCACCACCCCTGTTGCCTCATGGCGACTGTATGTGCATTGTCGAGCTGGTCCAGCTCTTGAACCTTGTCGTCTTCCAGAGGCGGGAAACACGCCTGCAGCACCTCCAGGCACGCAGGGACGAACTTCAAATGCTCGATCAGGCGTTGCCTGGAGTGGTAAATCTTGCAGCATGCATTGCACACGTCATCAACTGCATAGAACTTCATAACACGGCGGTATCCATGTACCCGCCCTGCATGGGTCGCCAAGGCTTTCCTACTTGCAAACGTTCGGGTGCAAGAGTCACAGGCCCAAGTCTCGGCCTGGGTGACCTGCGTCACAGGCAGCACTCCGCCCCCTTCAACAAAAGCACGTTCAAACTTCTTCTGCCATAAATGGTGTTCTGCCTCTGCTCTGCGGTGACGTTTGCATGCTTGGGCTGCCGCACGCAGCCTGCCTTTCCATTTCATATCCATGGCAACAAATGGGATCCAATGAAAAAAGGAATCACTGTCCTCAGGCCCAAACGGGCGGGGATAGAACTGCCTGAACCATGTGACTGGGAACACGCCCTAATCCAAGAGTGATGGGAGTCTTTGGCAGCGAAAAGGCAGGTCCACAGTGCGGCTGGGCAATATTGCAAAATGCGTTTGATGTATCGCAGTCGTGCTAAATGCATTTGGTCACAGGGAGCCATAATTTCGGCGATGCCGAACAGGTCAACGGTGTCAACATGGGTTGGGGCAGTGCCCAAAAGCAAATGCTTGACCATGAGTCCCAGAGGTTTGCGCATGTGATTTTGCCATTTCTGCCAGTCAGCGTCATGTGCTGAGCACCATGTGTGGACATTGTAAAGGAGGCGCGACATGGACATGGCCTGGAAGGCCTTGCCTTTAGTCTCAAGGGAGACATACTGCTTGCTGTACAAGGGTTTGGCCAGTGATCCCCAGGCCGACTTGGCAAGGGAAGCCCGGGTGTATACATCTCTGGAGCATCTAGGTGGAGCTTGAATCCACGTGCCCAGGTGTTTGTAGGACTGCGTAACACTCAAACGAAAGTCGCGGTCATTGCCTTTCCAGCATAAGAAACCACCTTGCTGGGCGACTTGAAGCTTGACTGATGTGGATCCTTTGCCTGCAATATGCCACAACACCTCTGTCTTGCCTTTGTCGAAGTTGAGAAGCATCCCTCGCTTCTGTGTAGCCTGATGCATTGCCATGGCGGCGTGCTGAATCAAGGCCACCAGTTCTCCAATGGTAGGAGCGTGCAGGGCCAAAGCAGCATCATCGACATAGGCCAGGTCCATGAAAGCGGATGCAGGCATGTCGGGAGCGTTGGCAAAGGACTCTGTATCTGCAGGCGTCCCCAGCCAATGGGACTGGGTGTGTTGGAGCATCCATGCTTTGCAGTCTTCCATAATCAGTCTCATGATCATGTTGAAAAGCAGGTCTCCTAAGGGATCTCCTGGCCTCGTGCCCCTGGTGGTACAACAGAGTTGCGGCAAATGGGTGACCTGAAAAAAGGTATGGCTCATGGTGTCCCGCACCAAATGCTGCAGGTGGGGCGGTGCTCCCTCGGTGGCATTGTCGTTGCTGGTGGCTGCAATCCATTGTTCAATTTCACTGGAGGCAACCCCCAACCGCTTGAGAGCATGGATGAGGGCGGTTGGGTCCTGGGGCAACTGGCCCAGGGACTGCCGCAGAACCGAGTAGAAGGCAGACCTCATGTCAAAAAAGACAATGGCAGTTGGGGCTTTACACGCATAGCAGGCGGCCTGGTGTGCCTCCAACAGATGATGAGTGAGGTCGGTGCCAAGACCTTTCCTACTGCCAAGTTGCAGGGCATTGATCTTGGCCTCCCAAATGGCTTCCAACTGGGTTCTAATGACTCGGTGATATAGCTTTCCTGTATAATTGGAGATAAAGATCGATCTGTAGGATTGAGGGTCATTTGCTGGGCCCTTTCCCTTATGGAGAGGGGCAAGGCGGCCCCCTCGCCAATCGAACGGCTCGGACGCCTGGCTGGCGGCCTTAGCTGCTAGCACCACAAATTGCTTTGCAAAGACAGGTCCCGCTGCTTTCAGCACAGATGGTGTCAGCTGATTGGGTCCCGGCGTCTTGCCCCGTTTGAGCTGGGCAACTGCAGACTGGATCTGCCAGGCCGTGGGAAAGCAGTTGGTCTGCTGGGTGTCAATTGGCATGGGGTCATTCGTGGTGATTTCCTGCACAAGTTCGGGGCACACCAGGATGCCTGCCTCAATGGCAGAGAATTGGTCCATCCAAATCTGTTGCTGTTCAGAGAAGCTTTGGGCATAAGTGCCGTCAGGCTTCTTGAGTATGGGGATAGGGCAGTTTGGTGTGGCCCTTTTGTGCCGTTTGCCCCCAATTCTGGTGATGGCTGCGTACATGGCCTTCGAATCCCCAAGCTGTCCGGCTTCTTGCATCTGGACCAACAGCTGGTCGAAGACGACTGTGAGGTCGGCTCGGACCATTCTGCGCACCTGGAGTTCGAGGCATTTCAATTCAAGCTTGAAATCAGCATCATGCATCAGGTTCATGGCTCTGCCACAGTCGAGCACGTGCCTTTTCATTGCAATGGCCTGCAATGTATCTGCGGACAATTGAGGGCGTCGCCGGGTGGCTTTCTTCTTTTCGAAGAACTGGCGGGCTAGTGCCAGCAATTGCGCTTCATATACCTTGCAATGGTCATTTGGGTGCACATTCCAGGTTGGCAAAGGAAGGGTAGCCAAGGCAGTCTGAAATTGCAGGCATCGGCTCTGATTCAGCAATGCGCTTTCGTCCCAGGCAATGCGGGCTGGAGGGCATTCAAGGGGTGTCCAACCTCTGGCAATGACGGCTACTGGGATGTGGTCATCATCGGTGAATGAGCCATCATAATCCTGAAATGTGTAGGATTTTTGGGTGATCTGGAAAGCGGCACGGTTGGCAAGGACATAATCAATGCGGTACTTAGCTCCACTAGAATGAGACCATGTGGCTGTCGGTCCCGGATGCAGGTGCTGGAATGTGGATGGGGCAAATAGCTCAACCTGTTGCAGGAAGGCTTCAAAACATTCGGTTTGTGGCCCGATCCGATCAGCACCATGTGTTCCAAGCAAAGGGGATTCATGAGAGCCCAATCCTGCATTGGCATCCACACATCCCCAAAAGAAGGTCGTGGGCTCAAGAGCAAGCAACAGGTCGGTTGTCTCCGTCCACCATTGCTGGACTTTGTCAATGGGGAGACGCCCATCACCCTGAGATTTTTGGAGACACGGCGCATGCAGCACTGCAAACATAAAGGAACATTGCCCAAAGTCGATCCTGACAACAAGGCGGCGGGGATCTGCAACTTGCACGACCAGGCGGCCGTCTGTGAGCTTCACAACCTTGCCATCAGGTTTTTTGGAAAAAGGCAGGGGTTTATGCAGCCATAGTTCGCATCCCAGTTGGGCGGCTACTGGACCCGCCCCTCCAGAGGCGAAAATGTGATAGTTTTCACTCTGAAACCTGCCGGATGCGGTTCTAGCCTCTTGTATGCCGAGCACCTGGAAGCCGGCGGCATGAAACTGTGCATCAATTCGAGCCGTGCGACTACCCTGTCGGCGCCCAACTTCATGATGCTGATCAGTATGCTCCAAAGCAAGGACGTTGATGGAGGCAATGTTGAGGCTAAG